CGGCTGGGGAGCGTGGGGAGGACGCGGCGCGGGGGGGCCGCGGAGCTCACCTTCTTGTCCCCCCCAGAGTGGCGGGAAACGGATCTGTGGTCAGGTAAGGCGGCCAGCACGCGCCGCGCTCGCCGCGCGGGGCAGCTGGGCCGGGGCACAGGCCGCCTCGGCGGCTGCTCTCCCGGGATCCAGAGCTCGACCCTGGGGGAAAGTAACTGACGGCCCTGGGGGAGGGGCGGCTCCTGAGGATCCCCTGGGAAGGGTCCCCGGTGTCACTTTCTTCCTCCTGGACATGAGCCCAGCACGCGAGCGGGACCCTGGCATGGGCGCGCGGCAATCTCGGGGCAAGCCCGGGGTGGGGTGGGGGTCGGGGACTGCCTGCTGCAGCTCAGCTGCGGGTACGACTGGCCGTCCAGAGCCCTGCGGCTACCGGACCCAAACTGCACGCGTGGTGGGTGGAGGCGACGCGGAGATCAGGCGCTGGCCATGGCAGGGGAGCCTGCGGTTTTGGGGTATCCACCAGTGCGGAGCCAGCCTGCTCAGCCACCGTTGGGTGCTCACCGCAGCGCACTGTTTCAAAGAGTGAGTCTGGGTGTGGGCGTGGGTACCACTGGACTTTGAACTGCACACATCTTGCATGGGGATTAGGCCAGGTGTTCTCCTGAGCCCCAGGTTCCCCTGCAGCTGGTTACACCCTCGTGTTTCCTTTGGTGGTCCTGGAGAAAACCCTGTTCAAATTCTTCCAGAATGTTCTTTTAGAACCTTTCAATTCTCCTTTGGGTATATTCTACTGCTTTTCTTGTAACCCAAATGACACTACCCTCTGTACTGCCCACCTTCACTCCACCTCAGGGTGGATGTGCCCAGCAGCTGGTGGAGGACTGAGCTGAGGTGAGGTACCTTGCGGGTATCGAGTTGGTCTGTGCTAACACCACAGGGCAGCTGTGTTAACTCCATTCTGCTGAGCACCCCCTACTGCTCCTGGCGCACCTGCTCATTCCTCTTTGGGCTACATGGGGTTCCCACTGGAGGACTAGCTCAATTCATGTACCCTTAGCACAGCTCTGGGAGGTGACAAGAAACCCACCCTTCTCCACCTCCACGGTCCCCAGGTTCTGAGATGTTAGTTTGGCTTCCTGGGCTCTCTCATTTATACAGGGGGCTCTTGGACCATGACAAGGACTTGCCAATGGGCATCCCAAGTGAGAAAGTAGTAGCAACCCTACAGTCTCACCTCATGGATTAGTCTTGGGTGTGTTCAGGGGATCAACCCTCCTTCCAGGGCCCCTGACTGCTCTTTCCTCCATGCCAGCTCTGCTAATCCCTTTGATTGGTCAGTTCAGTTTGGTCAGCTGACTGCCAATCCACCTTTATGGAGCCTGGAGGCCTACTACAATCGCTACTGGGTGTCACATATCTATCTGAGCCCCAAATACCTGTTGACTTCGCCCTATGACATCGCCATGGTGAGGCTGTCAAAAGCAGCCGCCTACAGTAGTTCCGTCCGTCCCATCTGTCTGCTGGCCTCCACATCCGAGTTCCAGAACCGAACAGACTGCTGGGTGACCGGCTGGGGGGACATCGAAGAAGATGTAGGTGAGGCTGGGGACAGAGGGGTATGGGGGGCACTATCCTCCTCCATCTGTTTCTACCTCCTTGGTCTGGGGAAATAGCCTGAGCCCTTTGTGCCGGCCTGCGCAGCACTCTCTCCCCACCTGCTTTCTACTCTTGCTCCTGCCTGCAAGGGCAGGAACCAGACACCCGGTTCTCTCCCTTCTGGAAACTGCCCACATCCCTTCCCCATCCCCAGTCATTCAGCTCCCACTGCTGGCCTCTCCAATCCTCCTGCACCCACCCTAGCTCTGGCTGATGCTCCTGGAGAGCTGAGCCCATCTCTCTCCTGGAAATGTCCAAGCCATGCTCCTCCCAGCTCTTCTCCTCCCTGAATCCCCTCGGGGTCCTCAGGCTGGCCTGACCTAGCACCTGCTGACTCCTTAGCTAAATATGAGAATGCTGGGTACCTGGTGGCCGGCAAACCCCAGACAGGATTCCTGTGCCTGGCATGTCCCTTCACTGCCCCCTGGCCCGGGCATCCTGCATCATCCTGTGACAATAATAGTAAGAGCAACGGTGCCTCTCGACATGCTGTGTGCTCTGCCCTGTTCAAGGCATGGGGGCTCAGGAGTGAGCAAGGCCAGAACTCTCTTCCTCCTGAGCTTACCTAGGAATGAAGCTGGGAAGGTTCTGTAGCCATTTACTGATGAGAAATCTGAGAGGATTGTGGAAAAGGTCAAGGTCCTAGAACTAGCAATGGGGAGAAGCAGGGTCCATGGGCTCAGAGAGGGAATGGGGTGTCCCCAAGGTCCACACCTGGGGTAGGCTGGGGAGTAGAAAACTCAGCACTACGAATGCCTCTCTCTAGAGTTGTGGTCCTTTCCATTCATCTAGAAGAAGCCTTGCTGCAAAGGCTGCGTGGGCACAAGCCAAGGGGCCCAGCCAGGCTGCCATGGGGTACTCCTCTCCCAGTCCAAGGCTGACAGGTGGGCCCACCAAGCCCAGGCTGGACTCCCCATCACACATAGTTCTGAGGAGCTCAATTCCCAAGGGTGTAGGGGAGCCCCAGCGCACAGGAAGTGCTGCCTCCTGCTGGCTCCTCCTGTCGTCTATGCAGGATAAGGTCCTGGTGGGGATCCAACTAGGAACTGGACAGATGTGGGTGCACGCAGGCTCTGACACCTCCTTGGTGCCTTGCCAGAGGTGGGAGAGCATTCCTAAAGGAGCCTTCACAGCACCGTGTCAGTCATGCTACTGAGGTAGAAGAGCCTGGGATGCCTGACCTGGCCTGGCACTTTTGCTCAGCCAGGCAGGCTCCTCTTCCACCATCTCAGCTGCCCTGGCCCCTCACCCAACATGCTTTCCCTAAGGAATCTCTGCACTGTTTGGGGCAGAGGCTATAGTCTCCATTCTACAGATAGGAAAGCTAAGTCTCGGGGAGCTCTGACAGCCTGTCCATACTCTGGGTCCTTCTGTGATATTGTCGAGCACCTCTGAAGTGCTGGGTGCTGGACTGGAGCTGGGTGTCGTCAGGCACTGTGGGTACCCTAGTTCCTCCTCTCCCACAGCCTACACCTCTTTCCCTAGAGAGGGACTCAAGCTACCACCTTTTTGTCTCTCCACCCCACAGAACTGCCACCTCCCTACACCCTCCAGGAAGTACAGGTTGCTATCATAAACAACATAATGTGCAACCACCTGTACCGACGACCCGACTTCCGCTTGGACATCTGGGGAGACATGATTTGCGCTGGTGATGCTCAGGGTGGCAAGGACGCCTGTTTGGTGAGTGTCCCTCCCACACCTTAGCCCCAGGCCTGAAAACAGCCTCCATCCTGGGCCTCACTGGAACCTCATGATGCTGGGAAGGAGAGATTTCTGCCCCCACTTTGTAGATGCAGAAACTCAAAGGCTCAATTGCTGCCAGGGGAGTAGGTGACTTTATCTTCAGTCTGCTGAGCCCCAAGCCCTCCTGCCCTCCCCAGTTTTGTTCCCCCAACCCCCCCCCCCAGGCTGTGCTCACCCACGCTGCTCTCCAGGGTGACTCAGGTGGACCCTTGGCCTGCAACAAGGGGGGACTGTGGTACCAGGTTGGAATCGTGAGCTGGGGAGTGGGCTGTGGTCGGCCCAATCGACCTGGTGTCTACACCAACGTCAGCCAGCACTTCGCCTGGATCCAGAAGTTGATGGCCCATGGTGAGGTGCCTAGGCCAGACTCCTCTTTGTTTTTCCTCACTCTGCTCTGGGCATCTGCCTTCCTGCAGCCCGCCTGAGACCACCAGAGTCTGTGGGGTCCGGGGCCCTGCTGAGCCAGGTTCTGGCTCTTTCCCGTCCTGTTTCGAATAAACACATTGAGTTGATGCCTGGTAGAGCCTTCCTCCAACCCTAGGGTTCTTGGACAGCCCTTCTGTTCACCCATTAGCAGCTCAGCCCCTGACCTGGCCCTGCCTCCTAAAGCCTTGTCTTCCATCTGTATTATCCAGGATACTTGCCAGCTGCAGATCCCTCTCTGGAGAGTTCAGTCAGAAAGAGAACTGATGGGAGAACAGTAGCCATTCCAGGGTGCCGGGCTGAGCAGCCTGCCTGGGTGGGTGCACTGGAGGACACACTCCTGACACCCCCACGCCAGGGTCCCCAACACACAAATGCCAGACAACCCTGGGCTTACCACAGTGCGCAGGGCCAACCAGAACGAGGGTGCAGAGGGTTTACTGGGGATGATCCCAGGACACACAGGTGAGGAAGTGGGGAGGAAAGAGATGCCAGTGAGTTTGCTCCTCATGGAGGTCGCCATGGTGAGAAATGGAGGCACAATCACTGGGGCCTCAGCATTGACCCACTGAGGACAAGGACACAGGGGTGGGTTTTTCTCTTGACTCCCCACCCCCTCTTCCATTGTGGAGGATGATCCTGGGAGCACAGGAGCTCCAGAGCAGACCCAGGTCACACTGTGGGCATCCAGGGGGCTGCAGCAGCACCATAGTGGGGGGCATGGGGGATGGGAGGTATCAACCCTGTCTGCCCCCCATCCAGTCCTCGAGTCCCAAGGAGTGAGTCAAGCAGGGCAGACGCAACAGGCCCTCGGAACTGTGAGGCCGATCTGCATTTGCCAAGACTCCCAAATGCCGTGAGCACAAGGGCCTAAACATCCCCCAGCCCGTGCTGCATAGAAAATGCATCCACCTGAAGAAACCCCCCTGCTCACCTGGAAGCCTAGAAGGAGCCTGGAGAGGAGCACTAGTCCCCAAACTAGGGAGGGTGGCAGTCACGTGGGATGTCCTCCCCACTCTGCACTGTCCCCCCTCCCTTCTCTTCACCTCCTTGGCTGCAGGTCAGGGCCTCTGGCCTGGTCTCCTTGCTTTCTTCTCCCTGAAAGGATTAAATCTGCATAGGAACATGTCCAACCTACACCTCACACCCCTGGTTTGCCCCTGCTCCTTAGGGTCCTGTCTGGTCCTACTGCCCCCACAGAGCCACCCTTCCCCACTCCTGCTGCACCCAACCTGTGTGCCCCACCCTCCCTACCCCTGGGCTTTGCAGATGTTCCCTCGTCTAGAACACCCCGTTTCCTGGATGACTCCGCCCTTGATCCAGGCCTTGGCCTAGAAGTTTCCTGGGCCAGGCTCTCCTCCCCCATCATTCCACCCTCACACCCTTTTTATTCCTTCATGCCAACTGTCACAGTTTTATGAACGTGGGTTCTTGTGATATTCCTCAGGTGGGCGGCCCTGCAGCCCACAGCCACAGTGGGATCCGAGGCCTGTTTGGTTTAGCCCAGGCTGGGCAGGCCTGAGGAGCCGCCGTTGTTTGCGCTTGCGCAGGAGGCCTGCGGGAACGTGCAGCCACGTGGTGCCGCGTGTGTCCCAGTGTTGGCCCCGCTGCAGTGCACCTGGTGGAGGGGACGCTGGTGACATCTCTGCATGGGGGGAGGATGGGACCCGGATGTCGCAATGGGTCCGAGGCCGCCGACCAGGACCTGGAGAAGGCGCGGTGTGGCCCCTTCTGCAGAGAGAGGCACAGGCGGGAGGGCACGGTGTGGATGCAGAACTTCTCCAGCCGCCTGGTTCAGGACGGCTGTGGCTGAGGTTGTGGGCGCCGGAGTGAGGGACGTAGGTGATCCCGGAACCTGGCACAGGCTTCCAGGTGGTCCCGGACTGGGCCGCCCGCCACCCTTTCCTGGGCACGGGTGAGACTGGCCGCGGTGGGGACCCGAGTCGGGTGCCCGAGGCCGGGAGAAAGCAAACTTGAGGGAACCGATTCACCAGCTCTCCCGGGTTGGATCCAGGCAGCAGTGGGCGCTACTTGGGGTGCGCAGATCCCTGGGCACTGGGTGAGAACCGGGAGTAGTAGTCGGAGGCCTGGACTCACCTTCCTGTAGTCGCCTCCCTTGATCTCTCCACGGAGGTGTTCAGCTGTCACAGTGGGTGTGCACTGCCCTCTCCCTTCTCTGGAGTCAGAGGTCTGGGAGAGAAACTGAGGCATGGCCCCTGGGCCTAGGGTCGTTGGACCCTCTTCCATGAGGGGCCTAGCCGTCCAGCCTTCCTGCCTGCACCCTCCTCCCTCCCAACTACAAGGGCAGACTTCTCTCAGCTGGGGTAATGCACCCCAAAGCCTAGTACACAGGTGCTGGGGAGGGGCTCCTGGACAACCATGGTGGGAGGGGTGCAGGGGCTTCCGCGGGGCTGGTCCTCTGTCCTCCCCCAGAAACCAACAGGAACATGTCTCCCGTTGTCCCCAGGGACCCCCGCGTGGGGGCTCCATTGTTCTTTCGAAAGACCTCTTCCCCACACCCATGTTTTTCTGCTGTGGAAAGTTCCAGATACCAGGATGAAATAACTTCTGCCAAATACAGTCAAATTGGAGCCAGGAACATATGAAGGAGGAGAGCTCACCGTGCTTGCCTACGATAAGGGCGGTTGCAGGGCCTCTATATTAACCCCTCAAGGAATTCTTTCGTTAGCGCTACCCAGATTCAGATCGGTTGCTCTTGAGAGAACATTTGTCCTGGCATGGCATCTCTAGTTTTGGGCCTTGGGAACCAATGAACTCCATTTCCAAGCAGCTTATGTGAACATCTCTTTTTGCCAGAAAACCTTTCCTTACCTTTCCCTCTTTGGATGCACCTATGGCTGCCATGCCTGTACTTCCCAGATGATAATATTTTTTTGCTCACTTCCAAATATACTCATTCTATTAGGAGATATTTTTCTCTATTGTCTTTATTTAGGTTGGCACAGTCTGGTGTCAGAAATGACTCTGAGGCAAGTTTTTCTTCAGAGGAAATTGGCAACACTCAAGACTCTGGAGAGATACCACAATTGAGGCCTTTCTTCTCTCTACTTCCACGGATCACTGTGTCCTGCCCTGCAAATCTCCTCTCCGGTCTAGCTCCCTCCTTTGGTAGCTTCTCCCTGTTGGCTCTTCCAGGTCTGGTGTGTTAAGTGTGCCTTAAGAAAGGACCTTGCATCCTTTCTGGGGCCATCAAGACTTTATGTCTTTTCTGGCAACTCCTTTCTGGTACAAAGACAGTTCATCTTTCTGCTCCTGGTGAGAATTTTTCTGGTCTCTGCTCAGGTTTATTCTGAGCTGTTTTTCTACCCTTAATACTTTTGGTTGTTGATTGGTTTTTCTTCTCTGTTTCTGAACATCTTTGGAGATTAATAAGGAACAGAACAGGATTCCAAAATTTCCAAGATCACAACAGTGTTTTCCCTTTTGTGACCCCAGCTGCTATATGTTTGAAAATCATGGTCCTCTCTCATGAGTGTTTTAAAATCAATGCATGTAGTAGTTTGGATCCTCAATTGCCATCCTAGGGAAATTTTTGAGTTCCCCAAACTTGTCTTTTTTTTTTTTTTGAGTTGGAATCTCACTCTGTCGTCCAGGCTGGAGTGCCATGGCACACTCATGGCCACCCCAGCATTGACCTGCTGGACTTCTGGCGATCCTTCCGCCTCAGCCTTCCAAGTAGCCGAAACTACTGGCGCATGATACAATGCCCAGCTAATTTTTTACTTATTGTAGAGATAAGGTCTCTCCAAGTTGCCCAAGCTGGTCTCGAACCCACAGGCTCAGGTAATCCACTGGCCTCGGCCTCCCAAAGGAATTACAGTCTGAGCCACCAAGCCCAGCCCCCAAACTTGTCTTTCAGGGCTAAACCAGAAGACTGTGATCCCAAAACTAAAAAGTCTGAGTAAGAGGTATACTTCAGTTTGTTCCGCAAAGCTTCTAAGTGCATTCTGGATTTATTTATTTATTTATTTTTAGTTGGAGTCTCACTCTGTCGCCCAAGCTGGAGTGCAGTGGCATGCTCACTGCTACCCCAGCATCGACCCGCTGGGCTCTGGTGAGCCTTCTACCTCAGTCTTCCGGGTAGCCAGAACCACAGACGCACACTACCATACCTGGCTACTTTTTTATTTTTAATGTAGAGACGAGATCTTGCCAAGTTGCCCAGGCTGGTCTCAAACCCGTGGGCTCAGGCAGTCTACTTGCCTTGGTCTCCCAAAGTGCTGGGATTACAGGCCGAACCATCAAGCCCAGCCAATTCTGGATTAAATTTGCCTCCCTGTCAGCTACTGTCTCAAGGCTAACTGAGACTCTCATCTCCAGGGCCCTCCCCTCCATCTCCTACAGCTCCTCTTCATCCTTCTCTAAGCTAAACTTTTTTCTACCAAGCTCCTCAACTCTTCTGTGGTATTGACTGTTTAAGTAAACACTTGAAAAACAGCAGGTAGCAAAAAAAATCATTTTGACCTTCCTGCTATTCCTTTAAAGCAAAAGATGAAGTTCCCATGTAAAATGCCCTCTCTCTACACTAGAGGGAAAGGCAACACTCTTATCTTCAAGGACAAGTAATTGAGACCTAGAGAGTATCCTAGAGACATTTCCAAATAACTCATATCTTTTAAGCCCCCTCAAGTAATTTTGTCTCATTTTCAGTTAACTCTTCTTTCTCTGATCCAGTACATTGGTATCTGGCACTAACTGTTTTACTCAAAATTTAGTCCACAGCCTTTATTAGATTACCTATCAGGACAATTGAAAAAATCTTAAAGTTTGTTTAGCCGTGTTCCATTTTGTCAGAAATATAACTTAAATTCAACTGTCTGTAAAACATGAATATATATTATTATGCTTTACTCATGACTAAAACTTTAAAATAAAAACTGTAAGATCTTCACTTTTACTTGTCTGATTTTATGTTTTTATGTCTAGGTGTAACACATATATGACAGTTATATTGCCTAAAAGGGACAAATTAATCACTTAA